TAGCTCATAAGCACCAAGCAGGACTGCAGGAGATGTGCTAAAAGAGTGAGGTCTCGGGCCGGGCGCGGTGGCTCAAGCCTGTAATCCCAGCACTTTGGGAGGCCGAGGCGGGTGGATCACGAGGTCAAGAGATCGAGACCATCCTGGTCAACACGGTGAAACCCCGTCTCTACTAAAAATACAAAAAATTAGCTGGGCCTGGTGGCGCGTGCCTGTAATCCCAGCTACTCAGGAGGCTGAGGCAGGAGAATTGCCTGAACCCAGGAGGCGGAGGTTGCGGTGAGCTGAGATCGCGCCATTGCACTCCAGCCTGGGTAACAAGAGCAAAACTCTGTCCCAAAAAAAAAAAAAAAAAAAAGAGTGAGGTCTCAACTGTCACTGGGAAGGGGGCAGGACAGGAATGGAATGACAAAGTTCCAGGAGGGCCCAGCCCTTGCAGATGGAGGAGGAAGTGTTACTACAGGACGTAGCAGTAGAAAGGTGTGAGAGGAGCAGGAGGGTGTGATGATGGCAAACGTAGCCCAGGTCAGAGGGAGGAAACCAAACCGGAGCTGCCCTGGCCTGCCAGGAAGGGGAACAGCTGGCAGACTGTGGGGAAGGGTGAAGACTCCAGAAGAGAGCTCGTCTCAGGAGGATGTGATATAGAGGGGACAGGGACAGCCAGACACAGTGACTCACACCTGTAATCCCAGCACTTAGAGAGGACAAGGCAGGTGGATTGCCTGAGGTCAGGAGTTTGAGACCAGCCTGGCCAACATGGTGAAACCTCGTCTCTACTAAAAATACAAAAATTAGCTGGGTTTGGCAGCAGGCACCTGTAATCCCAGCTACTCGGGAGGCTGAGGCAGGAGAATCTCTTGAACCCTGGAAGCAGAGATTGCAGTGAGCCAAGATTGTGTCATTGCACTCCAGCTTGGGTGACAAGAGTGAGACTTCGCCTCAAAAAAAAGGGAGGGGGCAGGGACTAGGGGACAGGGACTGGGGACTGGTGCATCTGAGCAGGGGCTATTTTGAAGTGGGGGAAGGTTTGCTAAGTCCCCATCTAGTCCCTGTCTCTGGATCTAACAGGGCAGCAGACGCCATCCTAAAGGCAGTGGCAGCCAGCAGTGTCGCTGAGAAGGCTGTGGAGGCAGCTCGAATGGCCAAACTGATAGCCCAGGACCTGCAGCCCATGCTAGAGGCCCCAGGTGAGGCATGGGCAGCCAGGGGAGGGAAGTGGGGCCCCTGGGGAGCTAGAGAGGCTCAGGTGTGGGAAAGCAGATGAGAAGCCCTGCAAGGGAACAGGGGATGGAAAAAGCAAGGAATGAGGGTGCAAGGAACACAGGGTGGAGCTAGACCCGGTTGTCTGGGGAATGGGACTGGAAATGTATGCAGTAGGATAATGGAGGGTTTGGGGTCTGGCGGTGAGAGGCTATGAGCCTGGGGATTCCAAAGTCCTGGGAAGTACCCAGTCAAGGATAAAGCTGCAGCCACTCCAGCCCAAGGCCAGTTAGGCCCCTCTGATTCTTAGCTATCCCTACCCAGGCCGCAGACCCAGGCAGGACTCAGAAGGTTCTGACACGGAGCCCCTGGATGAGGACAGCCCTGGGGTGTATGAAAATGGACTGACCCCCTCAGAGGGATCCCCTGAACTGCCCAGCAGTCCTGCCTCCTCCCGCCAACCCTGGCGACCCCCTGCCTGCCGAAGCCCACTGCCTCCTGGAGGGGACCAGGGTCCCTTCTCCAGCCCCAAAGCTTGGCCTGAGGAATGGGGGGGGCCAGGTGAGCAGGCAGAGGAACTAGCTGGTTATGAGGCTGAGGATGAGGCTGGGATGCAGGGGCCAGGGCCCAGAGACGGTTCCCCACTCCTCGGAGGCTGCAGCGACAGTTCAGGAAGTCTTCGAGAGGAGGAGGGGGAGGATGAAGAGGCCCTGCCCCCACTGAGGGCCCCAGCAGGCACGGAGCCTGAGCCCATCACCATGCTGGTCCTGAGGGGCTCATCCTCGAGGAGTCCTGATGCTGGGTGCCTGACAGAAGAGCTTGGGGAGCCCGCTGCAACCGAGAGGCCAGCCCAGCCGGTGAGATTCTCTGTTCCTGTTCTGTGCCCTTTTCTCCCCAAAGCCTTGCCTCCCACCCTTTCCAGACCCGTCTGATCCCCAGAGGGCATTTATTTCGACTTGGCTTCCTCTGCCTGTCTTGGACCATAACCCACTTCAAAAAAAAAAAAAAAAAAAAAAAAGGATGTTGAGCTGGAAGGAAACTTACATACCTGTGAGCCCGACACCCTCATTTGACAGATGGGGAAACTGAGGCCCAGAGCATTTAATTAACTTGCCCAGGGTTATAAACTAATAATTAATGGGAGAGCCAAAACATTTTTCCCCGCTCTCCTTCCATATCATTTCCAGCTCTCTGTTTCCTACTCCACCCCCACCCCCACCTCCGCACTTTCTCTCTTTGGTGCCCAGAAATAAAAAAGGAAAAGATTGTTCCCTCCCTACCCTGATTCTCCCTCCCTCTCCTGGGAAGAAGTTGAAATAGGGAAGAAGGCCGAAAACCAGGAGAGGCGGAGTTTCCCCAGAACCCTCTACTCTGATTGGGCTCTAGGCCTTCTGTTTCCTAGCAACCACATCCTCACCCCTACATCCCTCTGCCTTACTGCAGTACTGGCTGCTGCTGCCAATGTCTGCTACTAAGGCTAGGCACCTCCTGCCTGGGACACATGATATGCTGATGGGAGGGGACTGGGGGGAGGAGAAGGAAGGGCTGTCCCTGTATTGATGGTGCCAGAGGAAAGGTGGGACCCTGCCTGGGAGAACAGGGGGTTTTGCAATCCAAAACAAATGTTGGTGATACCAGCCCCCCCAGCTCCAGACTCTACAGGGAGGTGCCTGAGACCCTTCAGCTCTGCCACCTCAGCCAAGGCAGGAAGGTGGGCCCTGTCCTCAGGGACTGAGTTGGCTTCCCTCTCTGTCTCTCTAGGGAGCTGCCAACCCCCTGGTGGTGGGAGCTGTGGCCCTCCTAGACCTCAGCCTGGCGTTCCTGTTCTCCCAGCTCCTCACCTGAGGCTACTTCCTGGCCTGGTTCTGGCTTTGGTTGCCTGCCTCTTCACCCCTTTGACCTGCCTTTTTTCTCTTTTCCTCTTCTTAGCTGTGTTTTCTCCTATCTTTCTTTCTCTTCTTCCTTTCTTTTCTGTCCCCTCTTTTTTTCTCTCTCTCTTTTTTCTTTCCCTCTCTTCTTTCAGATTATCTCATTTCTTCTGGATCTGTCCCTGTATTCCTTTCCCATCCCAACCCCTTCTTTCTCTAGATTGTTTACATATGAAGGGCTTTTCTCTCTCAGAGTTGCTGTCTTCTCTGAGACACACAAATCTAAGTCAGACCATTGCCCCACGCCCTCCCCACCTTTTCTTTAGACCTACACTTCGCTGCGGGTGGGGGTTTGGTATCCTAAGGAGACTCCTGGAAGCTGAATGGAGAGAAGGAAGAAAATGAAGAAAGAGTGACTGAATGCCGGGCAACGCACTGGCTGAGCTGCTGTGGCTCCCTGGCCTGAGGGGCCTGGTGTCCCTCTGAGGCCTAGTAAAAAAGCTGCAGGAGGTGCAGCCTCCACCTCTAATCTTGGAGGCTATTATCTCACCTCCAAGCACTGAGCTGGGTTCCTGCCCAATTCCATCCTTCCCTGAGGGAGAGAAGGGAAGTGAAAAGTAGAATAACTCCCTAGCATCTCCCTCTTTCTCTCCTCATCAAGCCAGCCCCTCCTCCAGCCCCCTATGATGGCATGCCATGCCAAGAGCAACGTGTAAAGTAACAGAGAATATCCAATGCAGTCAGGTCCACCCCGCCCAGACTCTGCCACTGACTTCTCCCATCCTTCTGTTTCCCCTCACTCCAATAGTTTATTTGGTTGGTCTGGACTCACTTGTGGCCTTTGATTAAATTCCTAAGGGGCCTGAAGAAGACATTTCTACTGCAGAGGGTTAGAGGCACTTGAGCAAGGCCCCCACACCCCAACTCTAGGAGTTGGGGTGGGGGGAGGCACTTCTGGGGGATAGGACCAGACAAGTTAACAGGCGCTCACAAGGAAGCAGAAGCTGTGACAAGTTTAGTAGTCTCAAAATGGGTTATGTCCCTTCCCCGCTCACATCAGAATCTTGTGAAATGGGAAAACAACAGAAGGAGGGGATCAAAGAAAGCTGATCTCACACGCTACCCAGGCAGGGCAGAGGTGGGAGTCAAACCCAGGTGACAGGTGGGTGGAGAGCCCTGTTTGAGGTTGTGGCTGATCCTTCCCTGGTATTAGCTTTTCCCCTGGGAGCAGGAAGCCCTGGGAAGAGGGGACTGTAGGGTCCCCAGGGGATCTTTCCTCCCTCCCCTGCATGAGGCAGAGGCAAGCTGCCTGCCAACCCCCTCCCTCAAGGAATGGCCTTGCCCGGGAATGCCCACCACACATACCCTCTTCTTTTTTTCTAGTCAAACTGTTTATTCCTTGGCTTGCCTCCCTCCTTCCTCCCCTCTCAACCTTTACTTCTGATTTCTATTTCATGGAATTTGGGATTGACGTTAAACTACAACAGTGCCGCCAACACCAAGTCTTGCAGGAAAAAAATACAAAGAAATTTAACAAAAAAATATATTAATAAAAAAGTTCAAAAAAGGGGGGGGACTGTCATCTCCTTTTGGGTGCGATGGCTTCGAATCCAAGCTGAGGCCCTCCGGGTGGTGAGGCCATGCGAGGAGGCCTCTTGGGAGAACTCCAGGACTATCGCGGTGTCTCTCCGCCCCTCTGCGATAAGAGATCCTTCCCCCTAACTCTGAGGCCCGAGGTCAGAGGATTCTGGAAGACTGCAGTCGGCCCAGGAGGGCGGGGTCCCGTGGTGGAGGCGGGGAGAGGGAAGGACTGCACCGAGCACCACCAACCCTAGCTCGGCCCCGTACCAGGAAGCGCTGGGGGGCAGAGGAGCGGAGTTGAGACCGAAGCCAGGTGAGGGTGGCGTCCTGGGGAAGGCAGGCTGTCGCTGCCGCTGCCTGAGATGGGAATGGGGGGAGGAAGCTCGCGGAAGAAACAGTGGAGGGCCGTGGAAAGAAAGCAATCGGCTGAGTTAGGGACAGGGTACCAGGTAGGGGAGGAAACAGGGGACAGATAGGTGGGGCTCCGGCGCATGCTCAATAGGAACGAGCGCGGCTGGGGTGGGGACGCATGCGTAGTGGGCTTCTCGGGCGGTGGGGTGGGCGCGAAATTTGGAGACCCACTTGGGGAAAGGTAAAATGCGGGGCCCAATTTTAAGGTACCTGTGGGACCGGGGCTCTTAGGGTCTTGACACAGGACAGGCCTGGGCTGAAAGCCCAGGCACACCCGGCCAGAGAGTGTTGCTCCACTCCCGGGCTTTGCTCGTCAGGATGGTGGTGCCGTCGCTGAAGCTTCAGGACCTCATCGAAGAGATTCGCGGGGCCAGGACTCAGGCCCAGGAGCGGGAGGTGATCCAAAAGGAGTGCGCCCACATTCGGGCGTCCTTCCGCGATGGGGACCCAATGCTCAGGCACCGGCAGCTGACCAAACTGCTCTACGTCCACATGTTGGGCTACCCCGCCCACTTTGGACAGGTATCGGCCAGGAATACTTCTCTTCTGAGCTTGATGAAGGCTAGTGGCGCAGTCTCAGACGCCGTCACCTGTTTAAGGCCTGTTTTTTTATTTGTTTGTTTGTTTTTTCATTCATTGTACATTTTTTGAGTTTCCAGCCTGCGCTGCAAACCTCTTTCCCCATTGCTACCCCTACTGGTCATCATCTGGCCTGAGCCCTTCATTCTCTGGCTAGCCTTGTTTAGGGCAGGCACCTCCTCCACTCCTCTCGCCTCCCATCCTCCTCAACTCCTAGTTCCTCCTACCCACTAACACCTGAAGCTCCTAAACTTCTCCTCTTTTTGAAGGGAGGGTGATGAGATATGATGCCCCACAGGTTAATCTGTTTTTAAAGAGGAAGATGGAATAGGGATGTGAGTGTCTCTGTTTTCACCCCTGCCTCTTCCTGGTCTGCCCGCTTCTCCATAGATGGAGTGCCTGAAACTGATCGCCTCCTCCAGATTCACAGACAAGAGGGTGGGCTACCTGGGGGCCATGCTTCTATTGGATGAGAGGCACGAGGCCCACCTGCTCATTACCAACAGCATCAAGAAGTGAGAGGGTTCTGGCAATCACTTGGAATCAGGGAGATGGGAGAGTGGGGAACCTTGGAAATCCCAGGGGACTGCCTGTTGTGGGTATTGAAAAGGACTGATTTTCTCAGAGGCCTGACTGACCGTCCTCCCAAACCCTGCAGTGACCTGAGCCAGGGGATTCAGCCAGTACAAGGCCTGGCCCTGTGCACTTTGAGCACCATGGGCTCTGCTGAGATGTGCCGAGACCTGGCCACAGAGGTGGAGAAACTGCTTCTGCAGCCCAGCCCCTACGTGCGCAAGAAGGTGAGATGGCGGGACTCTTGGCACTTGCTCCTCCAAAGACTGCCCGCTGTGTGCCATATAGTAGAGGTGTAGGGGTCCATCCCCTCTGACCTGTCTGAGGGCCCTGACCTCTGCAGGCCATTCTGACTGCTGTGCACATGATCCGGAAGGTCCCCAAACTCTCCAACGTCTTCCTCCCACCCTGTGCCAAACTGCTTCACGAGCGCCACCATGGTAAGGCTGTGGGGCTCCCCATCCTTTGCTTCAGCTCTATGGACAAAAGAATTGAAAATTGGATGGGGACACCAGCCTATAGGAGAAGGGTAGCACACACACACAGGCACACACGCAGTAGACTCTCTTGCCCCTGGCCCCCACCATTCACTTCCCCGACCCTGACCCCAGGCATCCTGCTGGGCACCATCACGCTGATCATGGAGCTCTGCGAACGAAGCCCTGAAGCCCTCAGGCACTTCCGAAAGGTAGGCTAGTGAAGGGGCAGGCCCTGGGCCTGGAAGAGAGGGTCAGCGGGGAAGGAGTGGGACGGTAGCTGGAGAGGATTAGGAAGAATGCCCAAAGTCATGCCCTCTCTCCAGGTGGTACCCCAGCTGGCACAGATCCTCCGGACTCTGGTGACAACGGGATGCTCCACAGAACACAGCATATCTGGAGTCAGCGACCCCTTCCTGCAGGTGGGGTGACTTTTCACTGCTGTATCCCTGGAAGAGAGGCTGTAGCAGTAAGACCATGGCCAGTGGTCTCCTCCCAGAGGACACTAGTTCTGTCAGTGTCCTGGGCAGCAGAGTAGCAGGCACAGAATTGCCCGGGTCATCCCAGGACCTGTGAGGGAAGAGGAGATGCCTAAAAGTCAGAAAATATAGTCTGGTAACAATTTTTTTTTAAGCCTGTCCTAAACTCCCCTGGCCCCGCATACCTCTGTTCCGCTCCCAAGACCAAGGGACCTGTGGAGGTGAAGGGCAGGGAGGCTCTAGGGAGCGAGTGCTGTCCTCCATGTTGGAGTTTTCTCTACAGCCCCGTGACTCCTTATCCTATGAAATCCTCCACCTTTCAACTTTCACCCCAACCTCAGGTCCAGATACTTCGTCTGCTTCGGATCCTGGGCCGGAACCATGAGGAGAGCAGTGAGACCATGAATGACTTGCTGGCCCAGGTGGGGGCTGGGAAGAGGGCACTGGTTAGCTGTGTTGCTTAGAGACTCCACCAGCCCTGAGCACCCATCACATGACTCTTCACTGTGCAGTGGCCGTATAATCGCCGCTCCATCTCCTCTAGACAGTGAACTCCATGAAGAAGGGACACAGTCTGTTTTAGTGCTATTGCCCCAGAGCCCAGGTTGGCTCTGGCACATAGTGGAGGCTCAGGGAACTTTGTTGGATGGTTGAAGGATGGACAGATGACAATGGTTAAGACCTTCAAGAGACCTGAGGATTAATTGGGCTTGTTGGCATGTGCCTGTAGTTCCAGCTACTCAGGAGGCTGAGACAGGAGGATCACCTGAGCCTGAGAGGTTAAGGCTGCAGTGAGCTGTGATTATGCCATTGCACTCCAGCCTGGGCGACAGAGTGAGACCCTGTCTCAGAAAAACAGAGACTTGGCCAGGCATGGTGGCTTATGCTTGTAATCCCAGCACTTTGGGAGGCTGAGGCGGGCGGATCACAAGGTCAGGAGATCGAGAATGTCCTGGCTAACATGGTGAAACCGTGTCTACTAAAAATACAAAAGATTAGCTGGGGCTAATGGTGGTGTGCGCCTGTAGTCCCAGCTACTCGGGAGGCTGAGGCAGGAGAATCGCTTGAACCCAGGAGGCAGAGGTTGTAAGCTGAGATCACGCTGCTGCACTGCTGCCTGGGCAACAGAGCGAGACTTATTCTCAAAAACAAACAAACAAACAAACATCGGAGACTTGAGGAGGGCCCTGAGCAGATACATCTCTCTCATCCACTCAGGTGGCCACTAACACAGACACCAGCCGAAATGTGGGGAATGCGGTTCTGTTTGAGACAGTACTCACCATCATGGACATCCGCTCCGCAGCTGGCCTACGGGTATTATTTCTTATGCCTCACCCACCAGGGCCCCACCCACCACCTCACCCACACAGATCCTGCTTGCTGGTTTCTTCCTCCTAGCCCCATCATCCTGTGCCAGTGTGTTCCCACTCCTCAGTGGATGAGCATGTTGCTCTTTTCCTGGCCAACTCCAACGTCTGCCTCTCATAGGTTCTAGCTGTCAACATTCTTGGCCGTTTCCTACACAACAGTGACAGGAACATTAGGTAATAGTCCCAACTGTCTACCTAGGCTGTGCCACTGATCCCCTGGCCTTCTGTCCTTCCTTCAGAGCCTCCTGATCCATTTCTCCCTTACCCCTATACCCAGGACAGGACGGGGGGTGGAGGCTGATGGCCATGGCGTGATAGAGCCTCCCCCATCCTGACCAGGTATGTAGCCCTGACGTCACTGCTTCGGCTGGTGCAGTCTGATCACAGTGCTGTGCAGCGGCATCGGCCCACTGTGGTGGAATGTCTACAGGAAACTGATGCCTCCCTTAGCCGGTGAGCAGTGAGAGGGGACAGGAGGGCAGGGCAGAAGTTCCCAGTGCCTGGTGGCCAAGCCCCAAGCCAGCTTAGAGCAGCTGGAGTAAGGGGACTAAGGGGGACAGATTCCTGGGGAAGGGGACGGCCTGAGGCATGGACCAGGATGACCTGGGCTACCTGCATAGAAACCTCTTTCTTCTGCCAGGAGGGCCCTGGAACTAAGCCTGGCTCTGGTAAATGGCTCCAATGTGCGAGCCATGATGCAAGAGCTGCAAGCCTTTCTGGAGTCCTGCCCTCCTGACCTACGGGCTGACTGTGCCTCAGGCATCCTGCTAGCTGCAGAGAGGTGAGGTGTCCAGGAGTCAAAGAGGGTAGAATCTGAGGGAGTCAGTACCAGGACTGATGAGCCATATGTCCCCTAGGTTTGCTCCAACCAAACGCTGGCACATAGACACCATCCTGCATGTGCTGACAACGGTGAGGCAGGGGCCAAAGAGCTGGGCAGGAGCAGTCAGGATTCACCACACTGACTTGGCCATGTCCACACCTTCCAGGCGGGCACCCATGTGCGGGATGATGCAGTGGCCAACCTGACTCAGCTGATTGGGGGGGCCCAGGAGCTACATGCCTACTCCGTGCGTCGCCTCTACAATGCCCTGGCACAAGACATCTCCCAGGTACCATTCCCACCTACCCAGGCCCAGGGCTGTCCAACCATTCCTTCGCCCATCCTGGGCCACCTCCTCGCTACACTAGATTCCAATTTTTCTCTCAAGTTCATAGCTACCTACATAGCGCAGAAGACATCCAAGCACAGAGCCCTGTCTTTAATAACATCTGCGCTTTTGTCCTGACTCTGATATCTCCTGGCTGTGTAACTACAGATGACTAACTTCCTTTATGCTCCATGTACCCTGATTGCCTCTTAGAGCTGCCTTGAGATTAAAGCTCTTGTGTTTATGAGGTTTTATTATTACTTTGAATGCTGAATGAATTAACAGATGCCAGCTAGTATCTATATCCCCCTTTTTCATTTTAATTAAGTAGGATGGGCAGAAAGCATCCACCCCTTCCACAAGGGAGCGACCCTCTTACATTTACATCCTGTGTAGTTTGACCATGTAGTTCGACCATGTAGTTCTGATGCTTGGCCACCAGAGGGCAGTGGGAGCCAGGTAACAAACTTCCCTTTCCCCACCCCTCCAACCCCCACCATCTCTGCACTGCCTAGAGGGATGTTGCCAGGTCTGGACGTGAGGAGGGGACCTCAGACACTGGCCCAGCAGTGTTTTTTTCTTTCTCTCGCTCTCTTTTTTTTCTCCCAATAGAGACGGGGTCTTGCTATGTTGCCCAGGCTGGTCTTAAACTCCTGGTCTCAAGCGATCCTCCTGCCTCAGCGTCCCAGAATGCTGGGATTACAGGCGTGAGCCACCGTGCCCAGCCAGCCCAGCAGTTTCTTATCCCGTGTAGCAACCACTGGTGCAGGTGGCAGCCTGGTGCATTGGGGAGTATGGGGACCTCCTGCTGGAGGGGAACTTCGAGGAGATTGAGCCCCTTCAGGTGAGACCTTATTGGGGGTACTGAGGAGGGACTCATCAGGGGGGCAGAACTTGCACCAGAGTCAGTAACTATCCATGTCTGAAGGTGGAAGAAGAGGAAGTGCTGGCATTGCTGGAAAAGGTGCTGCAGTCCCATATGTCCCTGCCAGCCACCCGAGGATATGCCCTCACAGCCCTCATGAAGCTCAGCACCCGCCTCCGTGGGGACAACAAGTAAGAAGGGGTCCCAGCCTCTTGAGAGATGGCCTTTCATTGGGCCCACCCATTTCTGAGTTTCTTTCCAGGCATACATACCCAGCCCTCCCTACCCTAGCCCTTAGGTTCTTGTTTTTGAGCCAAATCTGGGTATTTCCCTGCTCCATGGGCCTTTCCTTCCTGCCACATCCTGCAGTGGCACACTGCCATTGCCACTTACATACTACACTGGCACAGCCGCATCCACCAGGTGGTGTCCATGGGCCTTTCCTTCCTGCCACATCCTGCAGTGGCACACTGCCATTGCCACTTACATACTACACTGGCACAGCCGCATCCGCCAGGTGGTGTCCATCTACGGGAGCTGCTTGGACATGGAGCTGCAGCAGCGGGCTGTGGAGTATGACACACTCTTCCGGAAGTACGACCATATGAGGTGCGTCCAGCACTGTGCTGCAGTGTAGGACCTACACCCCTGCCCAATCCCAAATGCCCTTTTCTAGGTACGAGGGCCTCATCATTACCTGTGTTCTTCCACATCCTCGGTGAGAGCTTCCTACCCACTGTTAATTGTAGCTGGCTTCCAACCCTCCTTGCTCATCCGAAAATCAGCAACAACGTGTCATTTTAGGAAATCAGAAGGCCACTTCTGAGCCATATGCCCTGGGCTCTCCATGTTCCTAGTCCTTATCCTAGATGCCTCTTGTGAAAGACCCAGAGACCACACAGAGGCACACTTGCATTCCATCCTCTCAGGGCTGCCATCCTGGAAAAAATGCCTCTTGTGGAGCAAGGTGGCCCTCAGGTTGATGAGGAAGCAAAGGAAAGTAAAGAAGGAGCCCCAGCGCCCACAGAGTCCCAGGTGAGGAGGCTGGAAGCCCCGGGGTAGGAAGACGGCTGAGCTGCTGTACCTAGCCCTGCCCCTTCTGTCCCTTTCCCCAGGCCTCACAGCTCCTGGATCTGCTAGATCTCCTGGATGGGGCTTCTGGGAATGCCCAGCATCCTCCTCTTCTGGACCCCTCTCCAGGAGGTGCCCTGGTACACCTGCTTGATCTTCCCTGTGCACCTCCATCCCCAGGTAAGCCTAAGCAAAGGGGGTACGTCTTAGAGAAGGTAGGTGGAAATGTGCTGCTTCTCCTCCTAAGCCAAGGGCTGAGGCCATGGGCCCTGTTTCCTCCTGTGTGTCCCCCATCCCATCTCCATCTCAGGAGGTTAAAGAATGAAGTCAATCATGGTTACCCATGTCTTCCCTTTATTCCAAAATTCTTCCCCTGGCCTGCAGGGCCCTGCTTCCTCCCCAGCCCTTCTTATACCACTTTCCCACTACCCACTCACTGCCCCCCTCTCAGCTCCTCACACCCTCCCACCCTTGGCATTTCATGTTCTTTTATACATGGAGTGTTCTTTCCCCAGCACATCAAATGACCAGCTCCTTCTCACGCTTCAGGCTTCCGCTAAAATGTCAGATGCCTTCCCTTACCACTCCTATTTGTTAGTTCTTCCCAGTTATTCTGGCATGATTTATTTCCTTCATAGCATCTATTATGGTCTGTAATTATCTTGCTTATTTTTTTTTTTTTCTGAGATGGAGTCTCACTGTATCACCCAGGCTGGAGTGCAGTGGCATGATCTCGGCTCACTGCAACCTGCCACCTCTTGTGTTCAAGCTATTCTCATTATCTCAGCCTCCCTAGTAGCTGGAACTACAGGCGGGAGCCACCACGATTGGTTAATTTTTTTGTATTTTTAGTAGAGACGAGGTTTTGCCATGTTAGCCAGGCTGGTCTCAAACTCCTGACCTCAGGTGATTCACCTGCCTCACCCTCCCAAAGTGCTGGGATTACAGGCGTGAGCCACTGGGCGTGGCCCTTGTTTCCCTCCCCCATTATCGTAAGCTCCAGCATTATCTTCTTGTCTACTTTGTCACTAGCCTCTTAAGCAGTGCAGGGCCAATAGGTGTTCCCTCAATTTTTGTTGAATGAATGAATAAACATGTTCTCTCAAACAGGCACACTGAGCTGCCTGTCTCCTTACTCCAGCTCCCATCCCAGATCTCAAAGTATTTGAGCGTGAGGGAGTACAGCTGAATCTGTCTTTCATTCGACCCCCCGAAAACCCTGCTTTGCTGTTAATCATCATCACTGCCACCAACTCCTCAGAGAGTGATGTCACCCATTTCATCTGCCAGGCTGCTGTGCCCAAGGTTTGTAAAGATTAGGGTTCAGAGGTGGCCTGGGGACTCCAGGAAAAAAGGCCACTGAGTGGAGGTGGATAGGTGGCAGTGTGAGATAGGAGTGACTCATCTGGAGACCAGCTTGGGGAGTTACAGGAAAAGGGTGTGCAGCCACTGGGTGTGGAGGGGCTGCCTGAGGCCTACCTACTACCATACTGTGTTCTACTAAACTCCTGTGTTCAGAGTCTCCAGCTGCAGCTGCAGGCCCCCAGTGGGAACACAGTTCCAGCTCGGGGTGGCTTTCCTGTCACTCAGCTCTTCAGAATCCTCAATCCTAACAAGGTGAGCTTCAGGAGCTCCCCCGCCCCCCGCCAAGACAAGACCCAGGGATAGGAAAAGCTGTGGGTGCTAATCCTGGTCCCCATTCTCCAATTCCTAGGCCCCCCTGCGGCTAAAGCTGCGCCTCACCTACAACCACTTTGGCCAGTCGGTGCAGGAGATCTTTGAGGTGAACAACTTGCCTGTGGAATCGTGGCAGTAACTGTCTTCACTCACAGCCTGAAATTCTCCTGTGTCCCAAACCCCAGGGGGCCCCAGCAGTTTGGAACCTACCCCTGAGGGCTACCAGCAGGTGGCGCTCTGGCTTTGCACTGCAAAAACTGGGGACCAGCCCCATTCTCCCACAAATAAAGCCCAATAAAGCCTGAGAGGGGAGGAAAGCCATATTTGGGTATATTTGAAGTAGAAAATGTGTATTAATAACAACAGCAAGGGAAGAGCCTTCTTACATAGGAGGTATGCATCTTCCCCTGGCCTTGAGAACCTGTCTCAACATGGGGTGGGGGGGTTGGTTCTTTCTACCCCTCTCCAGGTCAGGGAACAAATTTGCCCTTAAACTTCCAGAGGAGGCACTCTACCCTCTGGGCCAGAGCTGGGCACAGTGGCAAAATCAGATCTGAATTCCTAGAGTTCTAATAAGGGTTTCCCAACCATTTCCTCAACTTGCTTCTATTTCCCAAACCCCAAGGCAGGGAAATCCCTGCTGCCTCCCCTCATCTCTAACTCAGCTCTAAGGCGGTTTAGGAGCCGCTGGCAGAATCAATGGCATCGACCAAGGGAGGGGGGGTGGCAAGGGATTTTCCTGTGCTTAACTACTGATCACGGCTAAGTGGAAATCCTATAAACACGAGCGGAAATCAATGGAGGCTGCTTAGCGGCCAGGGGAGAGGGGCGGCCCACAGATTGCATCTGACGGATGAGGGAGAGGAAGCAGCCAGGGAGGGCTCAAGGAAGAGTAGCTTAGAGTAGGGGAAAGAAACAGACAAAGCTGGAGAGAGAGGAGTCACTGTCAGAAGGGACGCCGAGGGGAGAGGCACAGTGGGCCCAAGAGTGGACCCCGTTAGACCCAGAGTTCTCTTCCCCTTCTACGAAGTAACACCCCTAGCCCAAGCTGTTGTCAGGATGTCCAGTCCCCTGCGGCCTCTCTCTGGAGCTGTTCACTTCTAGCAGGCGCTGATAGTCTTGAGGCCGGAAATGCTGTAGGTACACAATCAGCTTGGACGGTGCTGTCTCCTGTGCTGGCACACCTACAGGTGAAAGGACAAGGAGAGAAATGGACAAAGCCACAAGCACTTTGACTTTGCTCCCTGCCCACCTAGCCAGGACTCCATGGATGTTTCCAAGGCCACACTGGGGTTCTGAGTGTCACCCACCCAGCTTCTATAACCCACTAGTCCACTCCCTGTCTGCCTGTGGAAGTGGGACCTAAAAAAGCAACTTCAGGCACTAGTGGGACTAGGAAACCACACCTGAGCCTCTCCTCCAGCAAGGAGAAATGGCGAAGAGGAACTCAGGTGCCATGAAGACAAAGGATGTCTCAACACCAGCTCATTTCAGTTATTACCCCATGCCCCAATCAAGATTAAAGCCCATCTAGGCAGGCCAAAGCTCATTAGCTTGGTAATGAAGCATATCCAGGGACGTACACATAAAAACCAGGGCTATAGAAAGAAGAGGGAAGCTATAGCCATGGGGTGGGATTCACATAGAATTCTCATAGTGAGGTGAGAATGGAACTGCCTACTACCAGTATCTGTTGTTAGTGCCTGGCAGCGTGCTGGTCACATAGTAAGGAACTCAGTGTGTTTGCCGAAGAGGCTCAAACAGCACTGCAGGGCTGTTAGCAGGCCCCATGGGATGCACAAGTCCACAGTAGTATGGGTGAACTGTCAACAAGGGAATTATGCTTGGGAACAAATCTGCCAAATCCTACCCCACTGCCTCAAATATAATGTTATTGTCCTTTATGAAAAGCCAAAAGGACAAATTAAAAGAGGATCTAGCTGATTGTAAAAACAAAAGGACAGATCAGTTGGACTCTTGGTGTAGTGTATCAGTCTCATCATCTAAAGGTCCTGAGTTCGAGCTTCAGAGAGGACAGCTTTTGTAAAAAGGCTTATTTTCCTTGTTTTGGAGGAGTGGCAACTGGGAAAAAAAAAGATCGGGGGAACGAAGAATCAAAGCAGGGAACTGAGAAATGAAAGTGAAGGAGACCTGGCTATAGGTATGAGACCTAAATGAGACAGATTGACTAGGATTTGACACATAGAAGGACTAAATCCAAATTAGCTACTGTTAAAGAGATTTCACAGAACTGTAAGCAAACTTAGAAAATAATAATAATTCCCATTACAGAATTAATCCAGGCCAGGCACGGAGGCTCACACCTGTAATCCCAGCACTTTGGAAGGCTGAGTCAGGGCAAATTGCTTGAGTCCAGGAGTTCCAGACCAGCCTGGGCAACACCAAAAAACGTCATCTCTCTTTTAAAAAAATTTTTTAATCCAGAGGCCCTCCCCCACTACATAGTCCAGTGGGTGCTTCCAAAAGAGGAAAGTGGGGAACAGGAAAAGTACAAAAGGGCCTGTTGTTTCCCTCACCAAGCATGCTGCTGAGCCTGTGGATCTTCTTTAGGGCAGCTGGTACTTCCGCCTCCTCATGCACCAGGGCCTCTACCTCACCCACAGCATAGCCAAAGTCGGCTGTATCCAAGTCTACCCTGAGCTGTGGCTCCTCTTCATCAGCTCCCAAGAGCACCAGCTTCCAAGCACTCCGGTTAGTCACAAAACTAGCTACTTCCTGCAGCCCCAGTGGGCCCAGCACAGCAGCCACACCTCCAGCCCCGAGGTCCTCAGCCCCCAGCACCTTACAGAGCTGGGCCACAATTGCAGGTTCCGCTGTGACTTCCTTATACTCAGTGTGGGGTCCTAAGACACCTGCTGCTCCAGGACATTTGAGCTCCCATCCACTATCCTCTCGTTGTCGCAGCCAGTGGTCGGCCCGCATGAGGCTCAGCTCAAAGGTGTCATAGTAGGTGTCTCGGAAGGTGACCCGGTGCTCCAGGGTGCCCCCCAACTCCTGCAGCCGCTCCTCTGTGCCAGGCCCTGGAAGGAACTTTCGCTCCACCTCAATCAAGCCCTGGGCCATGCTACCTGCAATTGGTTGAACAAACGTTTGCTGAGCTCCCGAGGATGCAAAGCCTGGTGCTCAGCCCCTGGGGCGACAACTCAGCACAGACGCCCTCCCTGGAAGAATTTATGAGGCACACACTGTGTCGCAGTAGTCTCTAGGGCTACTGCCCTTTTCTCTCAGCCTCGGTGACATTAACGCCCCGTTGGTGATATTTTAAGTCTCTGACAGTGACAGGTCTCCAGTAAAATCCCTTCCACTGCCGATGATGTCCTCAATCCAAAGGGCCCCCTAGAAAGCAGGACGGGTGGCGGATGTCTTTCCAACGCCCCCTTCTCTACACCTCGCCACCCAAGGAGGCCAGTGGCTCACGACCCGGGATGACCTGCCCTTTCCTGCTACAGTACCGGCCAGCGGAACCTCAGGTCTCACCTCAAAGCCCGAGAGTCTCCTCGCAAGACCCGGAGAGGGGGAAGGGAGACCACGCCACAGACCCGCGAGGAATGCCGGGAGTAGTTCCTGATCGCAGACCTCTGCCGGAATCTGCGCGCCCGGCCGGTCCCAGCACCAGCGGCCATATTAGGCCCGCTGTGGCGGTGCCGAGGGCAGGCCAGGGCTCGAGAATCTGCTATGTTATGGGAGGCCACAACCCCAGCGGTGGGCAGGGGAGCGAGGCCGCCTCTTAAAGCTCTGCTTCTCATTGTCGGCCCCTAAGGACTCCGGGGGATTGGAACAGGTCTCAGGCCTGAGGCTGAGCCAGGCACCCTGGGGCACGGGTGCATGATGGGAGATGTAGTTCCAAGGGGAGACTTTGCCCTCCCGCCCCGCCCGTCGCTATGGTAACAGGAAAGCTGCAATTGGTGCTTGTAGCACTATACCTAACAGGGCGGCGGGGAGAGTAGGGTGCAAGGAGCTCAAGCCCCATTCTCGTCTCCAGCGCCTCCCCGCTGGACCCCCAACGCAGGCAGATGGCCCTGGAATACAAGCTACTCACACTGTCCGGCAGGTATCTACTATAGCAGCCAGCTAAGTGCAGGCCAGTGGCAATGGTGGCGAAGTTGGGGGAAAGGGTGGTGGTAGCGCATAATTTAGTTTGGCTACTCTGGAGTATTAGAGGGGATCTAATACCTCCTGGCATGAACCTTTAGAGTAAGGGCAGGTGATAAACTTTCTGTCAGAGAATAAAGTGATATTTTGCCCGGGACTAAAGATGTGATGGGATTTCAACAGTTGGAGACCTAGATGGAGACAGTAATAGCCTAAGCAAAGGCCCAGAAACTGGAGAGCACCTGGGCAGTATGTAAGTAAAAGACCAGGCTAGAAATCCAGTTGAGGAAAAGGCCTTGAGTGCTAGACTGAGGAGCTTGTCAGAGTTTCCAGCAGTCTCTCTTTTTTTTTTTTTTTTTTTTTTTTTTTTTT